AAGAGCTTTTTCAGCTTGGTCTGTCTTGGGGGGGAAGACAAACTTTTTTTAAAAAAAACAACTTTTTGCCAAACAAACTCAATATACTTTGTGCCACATCTCAGGCATGTGCATCATAAATAATTATACAAGGCCAACAAACTTTACTAAATCAAAGTCTTAGCCCATGCTAGAGGAGAATTCAACTCAGTTTCTCAAACCTGTGTCTTTACAGTACACTAGAAAACCAAATATGTTGAAGATAGAGTTCTAAATTTGAACATGCAACAGCATAAAGTTTTATGATTTATCTCTACATACTGATAAGAAAGATACTTCCAATGCTGCATTTTAAATAGGTCTCCATATATAAATTACATAACTCAGAATTTGTGACAAATCTTAGTTTAGCTTGGAAGTATGAGAACTTCCTTTAAAAAAAAAGGAATATTTTTCCATATTTTCATTAATCCTGAGTCTACAGAAAATAGGAAGTCTAGTATTTACAAATTTTAAATTAACATAGATGATGGACTGTACACATAGATCAGATTCCAACACAGTCGTTATCAAGCCCTAACTTGATCATGACTTACTTGCAAACACTAGACATATCACTTTGTATATATTTTTTTAAATATAAATTACATACAGGGGATCTTAAAGAAGCCTCTATCAGTTGGTTCTGAAATACAAAGCTCTAGCTAATCTTATTGCTGTTTCCCTTCCTCTCTCCCCCTGCCAAAAAAATAATTTCTTCTTTCTCTAACACCAAAACTGACAGAAGGAAACGTGTGCTGCTTCAGCACAAAGCCTTCTGGCTTTGCTGAAGCTTTCAACCAAGGCATGGTTAAACTCCCACATAACTGAAGTAGCTACAGTGCCTATATATAGAGATTCACTTCTGCATTCCCTAACATAGAAAAGTAACAGTAACAGAGCAGAAAGTCAGGACTAAAGCAGCTCATTCCCCTATAGCATATCTGTAAACATCATAAGAGAACAAGAACACACAAATAAGTTACTACAAGGTAAAATATAATTTGGGCATATGGTACACTTGCTCCTCGGTGATAACTTGGTATTTCCCTGCCTGGTACTAGCGGCCACTAGTCTGTCCTTCTTTGCCCGTCAATGTCATGCTTATCTCATGCTACCTTACCTTGTAATGTCTTAGTGTAGTTACACCCACATGGGTACTAACCTGTCTTCTGAACTGTCTACCATTACATCCCAAATCACCCCAACGCAAATAGCAGCCAAAGCATAAACTACCCAGTAATCGAACAGAAGCAGCTTCCAGCAGACCTGGTTTCACTCATTTGACAACTCCAGCAGTTGTAGAAGCCTTACACTAAGAAGCTCTTAAGAAAGTGTCAGTAAAATGGAGGGGTTTTAAAGCAATCACAACTGTAGAAAGTTCACCTGGCTTCTCTACCAGCAAAACCAACACCGGAGCACTATGAAACCTCTCCAGTTTCATTTAGGCATTACTGTTTTCTGGCAGGTCTGCAGGGAACTCGGCTCCCCTTCAACATTACACATAAGCCTCTTACTCTTTCAACTGTTTTCTGTACTTCTTTTAAAGAGAAAACATCCAGACTCTCCTATCTGCAGTTAGCAGCAGCTTTGATTACCTGTTTATCCACATCTTTCCATCC